GGAACCATGTTCTGGGTTCTGTAATTCCTGAGAGCAGGGCCCCTGCCACTGACCTACAGGCATGGCTGTTGCATCTTGTAAGTCTAGTCACAATTGTTTAAGAAACCAAATTGGCAGATTCAGATCACTGTTCTCCAGGGACAGTCCCCACCCAGCCTGCCACAGGAGCCTCATGCTCTGGTTGTTGGGACTTTGGTCCCAGGTGAAGTCAGGGGAGGGTGAGGGGTGCAGATACAAGACGAGACCTTGCCTCAGAGATTGGTCTATTGACCAGCTCAGTGTTTGAACCTCTCTTGCTCTTTCCCCTCTTCCTTGTCTTCTCACTTGGCTTTTGTTAGCTGTGGATTTTGTTTTTGTTTTTCCTTTTGTCTTTGATTGGACTTGAACAAGGAAATTAAAGAGGTTTCCCTAGTCCTTTCTCTTGGAAACTGCTTTTCTTTCCTGAGTGAGGTGCTTTGTTCTCATCTTCCTTACCAGCTGGGTGAAAATCCTTCAGGCTGTTCTGTGGTGTACTGTTGCATTCATGTCTCTGGGCTGTGGGTTCCATGCCTTCCGGCTGATGCAGACAAATGTCTGGTATATAGACATCTAGGCTGTATTCACTACTTTGACCAACGGAGAATTTCCATTTGGAGACCAGAGGGATAGATTTGTACAAGTCAAGACAAGTATCCCTTATGCATTTCAAAATACTGCTTTAGGGGAAGAAAAGAGAACAGTGGTTTCTTGTTGCTTTTTACTTGTATCTGCATAATTCCCCCTTTCCCCTTCCTCTTTAAGGGCATAGTGAGAATCTCCCCCTGTAGCAAATTTTGTAACACTAGTTTTTTAAACTAGTTTAATAATGTATAAACCTTTCTTCCATCTTAGTTCTGTCATTTGAACTATTAGTTCTGTCATTTGAACTATTTCCTCAAGGCTGAGCACAGTGGCTCACATCTGTAATCCCAGCCCTTTGGGAGGCTGAGTTGAGAGGATCATTTGAGGCCAGGAGTTCAAGACCAACTTAGGCAACATAGCGAGACTTTGTCTCTTTTTCTTTTTTTGAGTTGGATTCTCACTCTGTCACTCAGACTGGAGTGCAGCCTCGACCTGCTGGGCTCCAGCGATCCTTCCGCCTCAGCCTTCCAAGTAGCTGGAACTACAGGCACGCGCTACCATGCCCGGCTAATTTTTTATTTATTGTAGAGACGAGGTCTCGCCAAGTTGCCCAGGCGGGTCTCGATTGTCTCTTAAAAAAAAAAAATCAAAAATAGGCTGGACACATGGCTCACACCTGTAATCCCAGCACTTTGGAAGGCCAAGGCGAAAGGATTGCCTGAGCCCAGGAGTTCAAGACCAGTCTTGGCAACATGGCAAGACCTTGTCTCTACAATAAATGAATAATTAAGTTAGCCGAATGTGGTGGCATGCACCTGTCCTCCCAGCAACTTGGAAGGCTGAGGCAAAGGGATCACCTGAGCCCAGCAGCTTAAGGCTATGGTAGCCGTGATCATGTCACTATACTCTAGCCTGGGTGACAGTGAAATTCTGACATAAATAAAAGTCAGGTGCGGTGGCAAGTTCCCATAGTCCCAGCTACTCAGGAGGCGGAGGTAGAAAGATCACCTGAGCTCAGGAGGTTGAAGCCGTGGTGAACTGTGATCATGCCACTGCACTCTAGCCTGAATGACAGAGTGAGACCCTGATTCAAAAAAATAAATGATTTCATCACACATTTTCTCCCGACACCATGACTGACTTCTATAACTATCTTGGGTGCTTGGTTCGTATTCATACTGAGTTCCTAGTATCTGAGGTATGACTGGTAAGAGGATGTCTCTCTAGGGCTGCATTTTGATTGTGATACCTCTCAGGCCTGTCCTCCTGCTGCACGTAGTGAAGGTCATGATGGGGTAATATCGTGACGGCTTGAATAAAGGGCTGCTGTCGTTGGATGAACCTTGCTTCAATGGACAGTTGAGTGTAAATGGTTCTAAAAAGCATCTCTAGGCTGTTCATCACCCTCCTCAGTGATCTCCCTTCTAGTTTTCTTCAGCATGGTTGAAATCCTGGGCCCATCTCCATCTGAAGGGGAGGTAATGCAGTAGCTCCCAGCCCTCACTTCTCATGCTTAGGGCAGGGTGTAGGGGAAGCTGTTTGCGCAGAGTGGGCACTTTAGGATCAGAAGAACTTGAATTGTTGTCATTCTTCTTCAGGAGCAGCTTGACACAGTGATACCGATGCCCAGGGCTCAGCAAGTCCATAACCCAGCTTGTTGGACTTGGGGAGAAGAATTACATTCCACAGCATGACGAGGCATGGCAAGACATAGCCCCACTGTTAAATTCTCCAGAGTCTTCCAGGTCCCAAGGGTGCCTGTGATACCAGTGGGAATCTGAACCAGCACAGACGCCAGAGTCTTTATATGAGACCCTAGTGCAGCGGTTCTGGCCACTTCTCAGGCATGCTGACTTGTATGACTTTGGAGCTGTCTGGTACTGTTTATGTGTTTGCCTTACAGGATTCTCTTAAGGCAGGAGAATCTTCTTGAACTTGGAGTTGGGTCCATAGTCTGTTGGTCAGCATGTTGCTCGGAGACATTGAAAGTCAGAGGGCCCATGGAGCTGGCTTCTACTGCTGGGAAGTTGAGTGGGCCTTGTTTCTGTGTGCTGAGTTCAAGATTAAGTAAGGATCCTAGTGCCATGATCCAGGGTACACTCTGGGCACAACTCTACTAAGAATAGAAAAGCAAAGATTAGACTGTTTAGCAGGTTGAAACCCAACTGCTCAAGTTTGGTTTTGTTTTGTTTTGTTTTAAAGCCTAGAAAGGTTAATTTGGGGAAACCGGAGAGCCAAGCACAAGAGAAAGACTAAAGGGAAAAATGCTTCCTGTTCATGATTTTGTCTCATCTCTTTTTTTCCGGAGACGTGACTAAACAACCTCAGCTAAGCCCAGCAAAGGCTCTTGTGAAAGGCAGAGCCCACTCCTCCACCCCATCACCACACACACACACACACACACACACACACACACACACACACACACACACACACACACACACACACACCCTTTCCATCTCCAGGATCACCAAGAAACCACAGGGAGGCTCCTGGCCTCCTACCGTACCTAAGGAGTCCCTGAAGTGGCAAGTGTTTTCCCTTTAAGAGACATGGCGTGTTTGGTGACTAACATCCTGTGGCTCTGGAGTAGACATGGTAGAATTCTAGTGTGGGGATCGTGCCTCCACCATGTCTCTGCAGTTAAGCCCTCGAGAAGGGGGAGGCAGGCATGGTTCCTTGGGAAAGGGTAAGTGGAGGCCTGGAGAAAGAGTTAGTGGGCCAGTCCCCATCTGACTGCCAACTGGCAGGGAGAGGGAGAATATACCCAGCTGATGTTTTCCCACAATTAGAACCCAGAAAACTGTCCCCTAAGGGGAAAATTTAAGGCCATTTTCAGTTCCATGTTTTATTACTGACACACTCATTAACATCGGTTTCTTCAGAGTCACTGCTACAAAGGGATTGTTGTTGGTCCCCTTAGAGACTGGCATTCTCTATAGAGCCACTGATTTATGACTCCAACCTGAACTTGGCGTGGCAGTCCTCCAGGCCCGCCTCCCTGCCCACTCAGCCTCTCTTTGCCCACCTGATTGGCAGGGGGCAGTGGCTCTAAGAGATGAGTTGCTAAGTAGCCTGACCTGGACTCTGCACCCTTCCAGGTTGAATGAATAGGCACAGTGTTCAAGGGAATGGGGATTTTGGCCTGTCCCAGAACCAGGAAGGACTTTTTGGGCAGGGGGGCAAACAACTACTAGTCTATCCTTGTCATGAAGCTGTAGCTCAGGAGGAAATTGGGTAGCCTTCCTCGCACCTTTTGTCTGAGACATGGCTTGGTGTGTCATGTATGTGGAACCCACGGAGCTCTGCGGCTGCCCCCATGTGAATGTCTTATAGAGTGATTACTGTCTCATCTGCTACCTCACTGGCCAGAAAGAAAGGAAGTGAGATCCATCCACTTCCTGTTGGTTTTCACCACTTTGATCATTAGCGTGTTGTGGTCCTCGAGGTGGCTGATCTAACTGGGTTTCAGGGACTGAGTGTCGAGTGTCAGCAACCCAGAAATGGGGGCAACAGATATGTTCTTGCTATTTTACATTTGGGACATCAGAGGCAAGGGAAAACTTGTGACATGGTATTTGGACTGTTGTCTTCTCAGAGTTATTTGGCTTAGATGAAGCATTTACCCCAGAGCAATGCATCTAGAAGATATCTGACAAGAAGCCCTTGCTCCTAAGCTTCTGTTGGATATGTGGAAGTGTCTGTCATGGGCTGTTGTTTGCATTAAGCATCAGAGAAAGCTTTTTTATTGAGAGAAAATGAAGTCAGTGTAGAGAGCGTTGAGGCCAGACAGGCTGTCTTAGAGCCTTGGACCTTTCTGGGGCTGCTGTTCAGTCACTTGTTAAAGGCGTGCTACGTACTTGTGCTGGGGTTCCATGAGCTGCCCCTTTATCCATTTGATAGTTTCCCTAAAAATGCTAGTCTGTGTTTTCATCTTGGGAGTTTGCTGTTGTAAAGTAGTCACCTCACTTCTCCGTACCAGGTTAGAGGCGGTGGTGCTCTCAGGCAGCTGCCTGGGGCCTTGAGCTTCGTATGCTCCGTTCAGGCAAGCTTACTCAGACCCAGGGGAGAGTAGCAGGCAGAGTACAGGCTGTCCAGGTGGCCCGGCAGGATCACTGGCGTTTGCTCTTCTCAGCGTTAGTAGGTTTGGTCACTACAGAGGCACGGAAGAGAGACTGACATGGGCAGCTGGAGCATCCAGCTGCTGTGATAAGGGAAGAAGGGGATTCGGAGGCTCTGGGGTGCCAGAAGGCCCCCTAGGCATCAGCTCACCATTAGTGTTCCTGGCGGTGCTCTTACCTTTTCTCTTTCCTCAAAAATCCTGAGTGGTCTCAGTGAAGAGAGCACTGTGGCTCAGGAGCCCAGTCTTACCTCCTTGTATTTTTGTTTCTCTCTTACAGGATAATACAGAAGTAGAAAAGCGAGATCCCCAGGAATTAGTGGGTAAGTACTCGGGAGCCTCGGGCCGTGTTTCTGAGCCTTGCCCTGAGTGAGCTGGCTTCCTGCCATGCCGGGCCTGCTGCTCTGCAGGCTTCTCTCTGCTGGGAGCGTCCTCGTCCTCGTTGTTCCCTCATGCTCCTTCTCGGGGGCCTTTGGCATTTCCTGGGATGCCTGGGTGAGATGCACAGGGAACAATTCTTCTTTGAAAATCGTATTCATGGTGCATTTTATTGGGCTTTGGTCGGTTGCCAGTGTTGTCAAGAGGGAATCAGGGCTGGGAGTTCATTTTGGTCTTTGCTTCCCCTTGTCCCCAGGCCTCTCTCCTGCCTTTGAACCCCCTCTTCCATCTCTGCTGGCATATTCATGTTGCTCATGGAGTCAGCATGTGTCCTTCTGCTGGCACTTTCCTCTGTCCCCGGGCAGGAACTTGCCTCACAGCTCTGGAGGCTGGGGCTCTTTGTGTCTTGGGAGGAGCAGGGACACAATGTTTCTGGAAAACAGCATACATCATGAAAGTCTTATGTTAACCCCAGCCTCTGAATCCTTTTAGAAAACATCTTGGCTCCTTTATTTTGGCCGTGAACCTTTTAAGGACTCCCAAAGCCCAACCCCAGGGGCAGTTCCTGGCATCTGAATCCAGATGTCACAAACAGCGTTAACCCTCTCTCTCTGTGGCAGTCATTACTGGCTCTGCCTGTCCCACTAATCTTCACAAAGCGGGTTCCCGCCCCCTGTGGCTGTTCCTTGGAAGGATGGCCTGTGAGCTACTCCCATGCGTCCACATTTGTGGCTTATTCGTTCTCACCCTGGGGGTTCAGAGCCCAGAGGCTCAGCCTGGAAATGTTGCTCCAGCAGTCAGTCCGCTCACCTATGCTTTCTCTAAATAGGACTGTTTTGCTGAAGGTGGGAGTACAGAGCCCGTTGTTTTTTTGCCGTAACTAAAAGAGCTAGAAATAGTTTGTCAAGCCGGTCTCGGTGGCTCAGCCTGTAATCCTGTGCCTTTGGGAGGCTGAGGTGAGTGGATCGCCTGAGCCTGCAGGTTCGAGACCCGCCTGGGCAGGCGAGACCTCATCTCTACAATAAATCAAAAAATCAGCCAGGCGTGGTAGCACGCGCCTGTAGTTCCAGCTACTTGGAAGGCTGAGGCGGAAGGATCGCCGGAGCCCAGCAGGTCGAGGCTGCATTGGCCGGGAGCAGCCACTGCACTCCAGCCTGGGCGACAGAGTGAGACTCCAACTCAAAAACAAAAAACAAAAAAACAAAAAAAAGAAATAGTTTGTCATATTTGCCTTTTGAGGAAGGATTGGGTACAAATGTAATTGCTGAGCAGTCCAGACCCTTAGCAGGATTCTCTCATCCCTGGGTACTCTGATTAATGGAATTTGAGTCTTTCAAGTCCTAGAAAAGCCAGGATTTTCCTGAAACTCCAAGTTTGCTCTTTAGAAAGTGGCACTGAGGGGGTGCAAGATTTGGCTTTGAGGGTAGAGGAAGAAGAGACGTCTGCTAGAAAGCTGGTGGCCTGCCCCAAATAGGCGATCCATGGAACCAGGTGTGGACGGGAATCTCGGCCTCATCCCCTCCCTCACCTGAACCGACCCTGCTGTTCACTTCTGAGAAACCTTGAGGCTGGAGTCGGAGAACAGCCATCCGTGCTCCGACACAGCAATGCCATGGTGCTGGGCAAGCGATGGAATGTGTGTGGGCAGCAACATGAGCTGTCTCAGCCCCAGCCTCTTCCATGACCAACTTGTTGCTTTTTCTCTTTGTGCCATTTTTTGAAAATAGCTTTGTTGGGGGATAATTTACATAGAGCAAGATTTGCCAATTTTAGGTGTGCCGTTTGCTGAATTTTGACAGATAGTTAAGTTAGCCCCACCACAGTCTGATAAAAAGTAAAAAACAGGCTCATCACTCTAGTGTTCCCTTTTGCCCAACTCTTTACAGAAAGTATCTTCCCTCAGCCTCAGGAAGCAGTGATCTGCTCTGCTCTCCTCACTACGGTTTTGCCTTTTTTGGAATTTCATATAAATCAGGAACTCTCAGTGTGGCACTATTGACAGTTTGGGCTGGATAGTTATTTGCTGTAGGGGCCTGTCCTGTGCTTTGTAGGATGTTGAGCAACGTCCTTGGTCTCTACCCACTGCATGCCAGAGGCGCTCTCTCTCTCCCCACATGTCAGAAGGATAAATGCCTGCAGACGTTGCCAAGTGTCCCCTTAGGGCAAAATCACCCCCAGGTGAAAACCACTGATAGCAATGGAATTATATGGTTTTTTTGGTCTGATATCCATGGCTTCTTTCTTTTTATTACTAAGTAATATTTCATCGTGGGAGATATGCCATCTTTGTTCATTCACCGTGGAGGACACAAATGGGTCTTTAAGCTGCATAGTTTTGAATACTCTTACCATTTCTCATCAAAGACAAAATTAGTTGAGTGCAGAATTAGTTAAAGACAAAATTAGTTGAGTGCAGAATGGCTTCCATTCATGCCGTTCTAGTCAACCCCTCCTCCTGAACTCTGCTCTTTTGTTTTCTGGGTGTCAGGACTCAGGTTGCTCACCTGGGATGGGAAGCTTTATCATGTGTGGAAAGCCCCAGCTTTAATAGAGCATTCAAGAGAGCAAAGAAGCCAAGTCATAGATGTCTTCAGCACTGTAGCCCCTTGACAGAGCTGAGCATGTGCACCCTATCTGGGTCCTCCCAAGCCCTGCCGATGCTCAAAGCTGTGCCAGAAGTGGTGGTGCTGGTGTGGCAGGCCAGCTGGGGCCTCCTTGTTGCTCATAGCCGTGAAGATACTTCATATTCCCTGGGGCCCCTGGGCTTACTCACTCCGTCCACTCCCCACCGTCCCATAAACCCATGTGACTTGCTGCTCCTGCTCAGATTCCTACCTGGCAGCTACCAATGCCTTGGATGTTTTCTGACGTAGGCATGCCCCAGGGATGATGGACACTGGCGGCCAACTTCTCAGGTCCTAAGTGTGGAGCACCCCCAGCACAGCCAGCTGGCACAGACACATGGGCGCTGCTTCCAGGCATCTGTGGACACATTGCTTGATATATTTCCTGGGAAAATGGTTTGAGATTCTGGCTGCTCACAACAAGAAATGTGGGGCTCATGTCTTCAACATTAGATTCATTCCGGGACTCAGGAAGGAGAGCATCACTGAAGGATTGCTCCTGAAATCTGCCATACGCTTCTATCTAGTTTTCCTGAATGTGTCCCTTTATTTGCCAGCTTCTTCCTAGGAATTCTCAGGAGGGGCTCCCCTCCTCCTGTCTTACTATACACCATGTGAGCCCCAGAGTGTGCTTGGGTTGCTGTGGCAACAGGATCACACCCTGTTTTTCCAAAAGCCTTTCCTGGCAAATGCCAAAGGGCACTCTTTGTCTCTCTGTCACATGCACACATACGCTTTTTCTAGCCCAGAAGAACTTAACCCCACTTGATGCGCCCAGCGCCTGCCAAGCCCTCCTTTCTCGTGTTGCTGATGCTGGTGAAATAGAGGATCAGTTCTCCCCAGCTAGTTCCACACTCCACCAGCCTCTGCAGCTGCTTGAGCCTGAGGCTTAGAACTTTTACCGATCCCAGGGCTGGGAGGAAGGAGGAAGTCAGGATGAGACTTGAAAACCAGCCAGATCTGGGTGTTGCCCTTGCTTGAGGAGTCAGGCCAGAAGGAAAGTGCTGGGCAAAGAGAAGCACTTTGTCCCCTGGTAGAAACTGTTCTTGGGCTGCAGTGGCATTTCGGGTCCATAGCAGGACCTCTGATCGATGTCACCCAGCCTCTGTCCTCTTACCCTCACCCAAAATGGCAGGTCAGTGCTCTATTCTTGGAGTGCGTCCAGTGAAAATCCACTGACAACAGTGAAATCAGCCCACGTAGTTGCGTTTTAAGACTGCCCTGGGCTTGGCCCCCAACCTCAGTAGGTTTATACTGCAGCAACTGGACTGGCAAAGTTGGGGGGCCCTGTCCCCAGCCCTCCTCAACACTGTATTCACAGCAAACTCCAAACGGAGATCAAAGCACCTTATCTGCTAAGCAAACATTAACCCAGCCTTGGAAGAGGAGAAGGGGCAGGCTATGCTGTGGCAGCCCAGGCAGCCACTAGGGCCCCAAGGGAGCTGTTCTCAGCAGTGATTCAGCCTGGGGGCCTGGCACACAGTAGGTACCCAGCAAGTACTTGATGAATGTTATTGGTGGTGGTTTGTTCGTTCTTTCCCTTCATCCTGCCCCACCCTGCTCTGCCTACTGTTTGCTCCTTGTATGGTCCTTTTCATGAGAGAATGTTTTGAAGAGCACAGACAGAATCTTATAACAAACAGCGCATTGTCTCTGACCCAGAGCAGAACTTGCAATGCCAGGGTGGCCAGAGGTTTTGAGAAGGGAGTGGAGAGAGCAGGACTTGGGTGGGCAGTGGCAAATCTCTGAGTGAATTGTCCCTTGGGGATTGTGGTTTTTCACATCAGAATCAGGCCTTTTGTTCCCAAGAACAAAGTGGGCCAAGAGAGGGTTGATTGGTTAATTTTTAGAAGATCCTACGCAAATAACGTAATTTCGTAAGTGTCATTTTTGCACTAGACAGGTAACCCGGAACTTTGTTTTTTTTATAGCCTAGACAGCCTGAGATAAGAAGGGTGGCACCATGCACCTCTGAGCTTCCTGAGTCCTAGAAGTATTTTGGGATACACCCAGTGAAGGGTTGGAGCTGGCACACGTTGTGAGCCAGTTGTGCATGTCTCTTCCCAGCCTTGGGTTCAGTGACTTCAAATTGGTAGCTTGAAGTTGGCCATGGCAGGAGACTTTATACCATAGGAATTGGCAGATGACACATGTCGTGACTCCTCTTCTCCTTCTACCCCCATCCCCAGCTGGTTGAGAAACATTTTACTAGCACATACTGGACAGACTCTTTCCTTGAAAGTTAACCACTGTGACTTGGTACTATGCATTTTTCACATTTATACCCTCTACCTGAACTTCTCTTTCCCCAGATTGACACATGGCTAACTCTTGGTCATTTGATCTCAACTCAGATGATATCACTCAGAGAGGCCACATCTGAATACCCAGTTTTACTGTTTTCATAGCATTTATCCATCCCTGAAAAAGTTTTATGTGCTTTTTTTTTATTGTCCATGTTTATCCCTTATCCTAACCTCCCACCTCAGAATTTTTCCTTCTGTTCTCTCAACAGCCTCCTTTTCTGAAAGAGTCCGGAACATGTCACCTGATGAAATCAAGATCCCGCCAGAACCCCCTGGCAGATGCTCAAATCACTTACAAGTAAGCACAAGACTTGGCTGCTGAGGCTTGTGTAGATTGTACAGCCTGGGTTTGGTGTTTGGTTTGGTCTTAACCTTAAGAGACCATGGCAGGGAAAAGAACAGAGGCTTCTGTAAAAGAAACTACCAGGTGGGAAAGAGCCCACAGTCCTGGTACCTCCCATTAGCCTGATCTCAGGAGTTGGCTAGTGTGTATGCCCGTTGCCACGTCCCCTGGCACTGCTCTAGCAGGGCCCCCAGCTTGCCTTCAATGAGATCCTAAGCCTACACATATTTTTTCTGTGCAGCCCAGCTGAGCCAGTTGGAATGTCTCAGAGAGAACTTGGCAAAGAAACTGAGGAGCCATCAAAATGTAAAATGAACAAGTTACAGAAATGTAATATAATTCCTATCCTAATATTCCTAAAATGCCGATTCAGTAGCTTCTTGCCTGACAAAACCTCATATGGACTTGACTTGAGGTTTTGAAATCCCAAGCGTTGAAGCTTTCAATGCAGTTATTCCCTTGGGGGACAGCTGGGATTTCAGCCTCTGTGATTGCTTCTCTTTGTCCCTCTGTGGGTTCCCCTGTGAGTGGGACCTTGTGATGAACAATAGTACAGACACCCAAGGCTGCACAACCTTGGCACCTAGTCTGCCTGCTCTGTCTTTGATACCATGGCTCCCACTGGGTGCCTCTAGCCACACAGCAAGCCCATGACACCACCCTAGCGGATGGATGACTAATGGGACCCGCGGCTGAGGAATGCAGCAGGTTGGGGAAGGGCCAGGATCAGGACTAGGGACACAGCACAGATTTTCTTCCTTGCCTGGAAGTCTCCTCCCTTTGCTGAGTCGTCTGCCCCCCGCCATCCCCAGGATCGCATCACCCTCCATACCAGACAACAAGCTTCAGCCTGTAAGGAAACCTCACAGTCACTCAGGCAGAGCCAACCAGTCACTCAGCCTTCAGTTCAGAATATTCCTTATCCTCTTTAAATCCCGCTAATGGTGGAAACCATGACACTTGAGCAAACATTTTTGTTCGTCTGGGCTGACAGAACTTACCTGATGGCCCAGGAGATACAGCCAAGTCATCTGTAGGGTAAATTGCCCAGCCTCCTCTGTAAGACCTCTCTCCTTTCCCTGTGAAGAGATAACGTTGAGGCAAGAGGGTTGTCACTCTTAGCTTCTGTTTTCCTTGGTGATTATATTGCAAGCCTCTCCGCAATCCAGTGCTTCCCCTGGCCAGTCTTGGTAGGAGACCCAGCCTTCTCACAAGGGGAGTGGATCCCCTCTTCTGATGTTTCCTAAAGGGCATACCATGGGGCCTCTGGCCCTGCCCACCTCCTCTTGCTGGTGAAGTGTTTTCCATCTGGAGAATCTGTATCGTTAACTGCCACTACAGGGGAAGGCTGCAGATAGATCTGGCACTGGACCAGTACTCACCTTCTTGAGAAAGACTTCTGTTCTCAGAGGTGACTTGGCCCTGAGACTCTGGTGTCTTGGGCCTCTTCATTGATACTGGGCAGTGCTGATGTCATGTAGGTTGGACATCATCTCTGTGGGACAGGCCGGACCCCTTTCCTGTAGGACACCCATAGCACTGGCCACACTAGGTGAGCCTGAATCCCTGCCAGGTGGCTCTCCAACTTTCCTTTGAAAGCCAGGGTAGCAACCTGTGGGGATTTTTGGTGAGAGAAAGGCATGATCCTTCAGGGTGACCCTTGGTAAACTGATGTGGACCAGTCATCTGTGGGCCTCCTCATGAAAGATGTTCTAAGGAAGTTGATGAGACAAATCCAAAAAAACTTTACTTCTGCCTTCCTTGGCAAGAACATGGCCCTTCCAAGTCTCCTATGACAGTTCTGCTGAGGACTGAAGCTTGTGTTAGAAATGTAAAGCCTGTATTCAGTCCTGCACACCACCCCTAATACCTTACTCTTTTTTTGGTTTGATTTGGAAGCTAATTAGCCAGTTGGGGATTTGATCATTATCTTCTTTATTTTTTATTTATTTATTTTTTTGAGTGGGAGGCTCACTCTGTCACCCAGACTGGAGTGCAGGGGCCGCTCCCGGCCCCCGCAGCCTCGACCTACCGGGCTCCGGCGATCCTGCCGCCTCTGCCTTCCGAGGAGCCGGAAGATCATTATCTTCTGCATGGCTCCTCTGCCCTAAACGTTTTGCCACTCACGACTGTTCATCTGAAGGGAGTCAGGAGACATCAGCAATGAAAGCAGACTGGCAGCTGGGTGCAGTGACTCACGCCTATAATCCCAGCACTTTGGGAGGCCGAGGCGAGAGGATTGCCTGAGCCCTCGGGTTCAAGACCAGCCTGGGCAACTTGGTGAGACCTCATCTCTATGATAAATCAAAAAGCTAGCCGGACATGGTGGCGCATACCTGTGGTTCCAGCTCCTTGGAAGACTGAAGTGGAAGGATCGCCTGAGCCCAGCAGGTTGAGGCTGTGGTGGCTGGGAGCATACCACTGCCCTCCAGCCTGGGTGAAGCAGTGAGACTCCAACTCCCAAATAAAAAAGAAGAGAGAAAGAAAAGAAAACAGACTGTAGGCAGCTCTGTACAAAGGCTGGGTGGAAAAGAGACGCGACTGGAGTCGGACTTTGCATGGCTCTGGGGCCTCACATTCATGCTGCACACAGCCCTCGTGACCACAGGCTAGGACAGTGAATGGGTAGGGCTTCTCTCATCCATGCCCTCTGCTATTCCACAGGACAAGATCCAGAAACTTTATGAGCGGAAAATAAAGGAAGGAATGGATATGAACTACATTATCCAAAGGAAGAAAGAATTTCGGAACCCCAGGTTAGTTCCCTACGAGCCTACAGAGTTCACTGAGTTATCAGTATTGGACCAGGATGCCCCCCAGTGAGGTGGCAAGGAGAGGCCCAGCTAAGATCCCACCTAAGCCCAGAGGTGCCATCACACAGAATTGTCATTACTAAGTGCCTGCTGGACCCAGCAGACTGCACTAACCCAGCCAGAGGTTTGCATTTAAAATCTAGACAAAGGCCAAGCACGGTGGCTCACACCTATAATCCCAGCACTTTTGGGAGGGCCAAGATGAGAGGATTGCCTGAACCCATGGGTTCGAGACCAGCCTGGGCAGCTTGGTGACACCTATTCTCTACAATAGATGAAAAAATTAGCTGGGCATGGTGGCAAGTGCCTGTCGTTCCAGCTACTTGGAAGGCTGAGGTAGAAGGATCACCTGGGCCCAGCAGGTCTAGGCTGTGGTGGCTGTGAGCGTGCCACTGCAATCCAGCCTGGGTGATAGAATGAGACTCCCATTCAGAAAAAAATAGAATAAAATCCAGACAAAATACATAAACCAACATGTACAGTGGCAGCTAGGAGACCTGGCTGGATTCTTGTCCCTGCTGTGTGCCTAAAGGACATAACCCCTGGAGGCCTAAGTCTCCCAATCTGTATGATGAGGAAATTGGATTAGACAATCACTATAGATTCTTCTTCCAACTTTAAAAAGTTGATTTTTGGCACACAAGTGAGAGGTTTTGGAACCAGAACTGTGTCTGGGTCTTAGTCTGTCTAATGTTTGAACTGGTGACACACCCAGGAAAGAGCACGGTGTGTGACAACAGGGACCTGCCCCGGCCCTGCATTGGCCTGAGTGTGGTCACAACCCAGCCATTCAGACTGAAGATCAGAGACATCTGGATTAAGCACACAGCGCAGCCTTCACCTCAACCCCGTGCTCCTCCCTGTCACTAGCTAACAGTCCCAACTTCCTGGGAGGGGGAGGACCATCAGGAAGCTTGCTTAGAACAATTGAGCTGAACTTAAAGATGTCAAAGGCTTCGTCTCAGTCCCAGGAGCTGGATGTTCGGGTGCAGAAAAGTACATAGACTAGTACCGGCTCAACCCCTGTGCTTCTCTTTCAGCATCTACGAGAAGCTGATCCAGTTCTGTGCCATCGATGAGCTCGGCACCAACTACCCAAAGGTATGTTCCACCCAGAGGCTCAAGGTGATGGGGGATAGCCCAGACCCTGGGCTTACTCCGCTGGATTTGACCTGGAGCCACAGAAAGGTCCATGTAGCAGCACTGCTGATCCAAAAGCACAGTCCTTATGTCTTTTCCTGAGCCCCTGTTCTGAGTTAGTCCAGTAAAGAGAGTCCAGTGACAGGCCTGGTCCCGTAGCCCCTGACTGGCTAGGGTCCACATGAGAACTCGCTGCTCCTGTGGGCCAGCAGAGGGACTGCTGAACAAAGGCATCATTACTTGCATGCTCTTAAGAGCTTACTGGCTACACCTTAGCTGGAGATCAAAGATGACTGCCAAGCCCCTATGCCATCGGGGATGTGGAGACGCCAGGCCGGGACGAGATTCAGGGGCAAGAGACTGGGATTCTAAGTCGTTTGTCATCTGATGGTCCCCACTGACTGCAGCTTTAACCTTTTGACTTTCAGGATATGTTTGACCCCCATGGCTGGTCTGAAGATTCCTACTATGAGGCATTAGGTAATCTTCCATCCATCTGTCCATCCATCTAATTAGTCATCCAGGCGACTTGTATTTCAGGGTCTCCTCTACATGAGGCCATGTCCAAGGGACTGGGCACAGTCCTGAACGAGACAGATCCAATCCCTGACTTAGGACGTTTATGTCATAGCAAAGAAGACAGAGGGTTGAACCAGTCATTTCAACACTGATGAGTATTATGAATCAGGAGTTGGTGGGTACCAGGAGAGCCTTTGGCAAGCAGAGTCAACTAACTAACCTGTCCAAAGGGATACGAAGGTCTTGCTAAGGAAACTCTTTTCGAGCTGAGATTTGAAGAGGCGTAGGGGCCAGGCAAATGCAGGACCAGCAGGAGTAAAGGTTATTCCTAAGGGGCCCATGTAGAAAAAAATGACAAAGGATCTAAGTTCATAGACCATAGGTCTTGAGCCAGCAATCTTCAGGCCAGATCCTGGCCTGTGGAGGTGTTTTGATTGGTCTGCACAAATTTTGTCTTGTTTTATGTAGTTGAATTAGTTGTCAACTTTGTACATAAAACTGAAAAGGACACAGGGGTCATGGCAGCAAGTGACGGGCTCCCTTAGCTAAAAGGTGCTCCTGGGCTGCTTTTATAATGGCTTCTCTTGTCTTTGTAGCCAAGGCCCAGAAGATTGAAATGGACAAATTGGAAAAGGCCAAAAAGGAACGAACCAAAGTAAGTGATGACAGACCACCTAGATGAAAAAGGTAGACGAGTGGAATGCATGGGTTCTGCCAGCTGAACCCGAGGGTGCCAGGCTGCTCCCCCAACCCTGGCTCCACTTCAACACCAGGCGATGCTCTGAGCAGCCTCCGCTGGGCCTTCTGTACTGAGTAGGCCTGCTGGGCTTCCAGCCCCTGTGACCTGGCTTGCAGACACTTGCCTGTTGCTTCATTTTTGGAGTCTTGTCACTTGGTGCCTCGTGCCCTCCCCCCCCTCCTTCCCCTTCCTCCCAGGTGCTCTCTCGGGTCATCAGTGCCCTCCCTGACCTGAGTGGAGAGTCCTGGGCCCCAGCTTGCTCTGGTCTGTAAGTTTCTGGCTCCAGAGCTGACCTCTGCAGCCTGCCTGAGTGCTACCCGTTAGGCCCCATGTCTTAGGGCCGAGCGACCCCGAGGGCCACTTCTTCCCAGCAGTGTGGTCTTGGTTCTTCAGGGAGCATCAGTTTGGCTGTGAGACCACAACGTTGTCTCTGGGCATCGGGCCCTTTATGACCAGAGTCTCAGAGAGAGAGCTGGACATCAGGACTCCGGCTCCTCCCACCTCTGGTTTGGCCTGACCCTCTTCGAGCAGCTGCGGCCTCCGGACCACCCCCTCACCCCCAGGCAGTGGGGCTGCGGGGCCTGGGCGTGCTGGTAGCCCTCCAAGAGGCACTGGCTGGCGGGCAGGAACGTGGGAGCTGGTGTGAGGGGATAATCGGGGTTTCTCATTCTTAACCCTTGATTGAATCTCCCTTCTCTCTCTTTCCCTCTCCCTTCCAAACCCCAGGCTGGTTGCAGGGACGTGTCTGCAGCGCCTGGGGACCGGAGCTGTGCTTCCCCTTTGCGGGCGGGCACCGCCTCCTCCTGGGTGTGAGGAGGAGGGCCTGACTAAACGGTTCTGGGCATGTGAGGCGGGTGGGGGGTGGTGCCGGGCATGTGCAAGACCTGGTGAAGTCGGGAGGGGTCCAGCGCTGTTAGGAAAGCTCTTTTAAAAGTGGTAAAAAGCCCCTTTGGGCTCTTCTTAGACACCTCACCCTCCCCCAGATGGTCACCGCAGAGTTGATTTTCAGTGCCTCCTTTACATAGTGCCAAACTCCTGTCCCCCGGGAGCAGACGGACGGCAAAGGCTACGGATGCTCCACTTTGCGCAGTCTTACTCTCTCTCCTTTCCCCCACCAGATTGAGTTTGTGACGGGCACCAAGAAGGGCACCACGACCAACGCCACAGCCACTACCACCACCACCACCAGCACAGCCGTTGCAGGTTAGAAAGCAGTTTGTCCCAGCCCTGGTGCTGCTCCGCTTCCCGGCCACACCGCAGATGGAATAAGGGCTCCCTGTCTTGTTTCAAGGGGCACGAGCACCACACAGATCTGGGCCCAGGCTCAGCCTTGCTCTTTTCCGAAACAGGACCTTGAGAACCAGCTTTGGAGCCCGGGATGGCCTTGGCTCACAGGCGGCTGCTCAGGCCTGCTGGGCCGGGCCCTGCGGCAGCCTCGGGGAAGGAGGGCATTGCTTTTGGTGGGTGGTGAGCCTGACTTCTCTCTTGCTTTATCTCCAGACGCCCAAAAGAGAAAGAGCAAGTGGGACTCTGCCATCCCAGTGACGACAATAGCCCAGCCCACCATCCTTACCACCACGGCCACCCTGCCGGCTGTTGTCACAGTCACCACCAGTGCCAGTGGCTCTAAGACCACTGTCATCTCTGCCGTGGGCACCATTGTGAAGAAGGCCAAGCAGTGACCGGAGGGGCCGCCCTAGGACTTGAAAGGACTGTGCAGCCCAGTGACCGGTGCCCACTGGGAGGTGCTACTTTGTATATTTCAGGACTGGAACTTGCTGTCCCAGATGCTCCCCGAGGGGCTTCTGTGGCATTTCAGCCAGAAGAAGGACATTGCGGCACAGGATTAGGGTGTCATGGACAGTGTCTGTTCTTGCACCACCTGGGACTGTCACCCTATTAAAAGTGCTGTATTCTTAACATCCTGGCATCTTGGATGTACTGGCCTCTCCTACGGTCTGTGTGCAGCCATATGTGAAAGCTCAAGTGTTGGGATTACTGCCCCAGGTGTGGCAGTGGGGTGACAGAAGCCCATGGTCCTGCTCAGAGGGGTGGCCCGAGAAGTCACCGTGTCATTTTCAGTGTATGCTTCTGGGTGTGGGCAGCCCAGCGCACAGGGAGGGAGGGAGACCCCACATTCCCACCACCTGCTGCCCTGACCCCGAACCCTTGGGCGAGAGCAGGGCCTCTGCCCCCTTGGGTGCACTTGAGCACTCCTCAGGCCAGACCACTTCTTGGACACACCCAGGCTTTGAAGTCCAGCCAGTTTCCAGAAGGGCTGGGGTGAGATCCCCGACCTACACAGGGAGTAGAGAGGCATCGGCGCCGGGCTAAGGCTACCCCAGGCCATTGGTGCCTGGTGAGCGCAGCCAGTGGGAGCCATACGGCGGGAGAGATGAATCACCTCCTGCCCTGGCTGGGCAGCAGCTCATTGTTTACGTGAAAGCCCTGCTCCTGGGAAGACTTCTGCCACCCCACCCTTCCTCTGTGTGTTATCTCTGCCCCACAGCAGCCCTTGGGTAGCGCCAGTGGCCGCCTGGCTCCTCCTGGGGCCAAAACAGGCTTCCTAGCCACCGGCAGCCCAAGAGTCCAGGCGCCATTTACCTCTCTGGACGTTGGCAGCTCTCCTTTCCCCCCAGCGGAAGGGCCGCGTGTCAAAGAAGGAAGCCGGGCTGTGAAGAGCTGTGTTGTTTCCATGGGGCGGAGAGATTTAGAAAGGTGGTGCTGTTGCAAGTCCTGAGGAGTAAAGTGAACTCATCCCTGAGGTCCCCATGCGCACACTCAGGCGCTTCAGGAGGTCTGGCGGGACTTGGCAGCCCTGGGGAGAAAGCTGCTGTCCACTCCTCCCAAGAGGGTCTCAAAAGGCTCCCCCTGCAGCCTCCAACCCTCCTTAGCCACAGGCATCGTGGAGGCCTTGTGGCACGGGAGGGAGAACGTGATGTACAGTAACCCCTCTGCTCTGCAGTCCCAGGTTAGGACAAACTGTGTAGTCTCAAGCCCCAAACTAAGCCTGTTTCTTCTCTGTCAAATCACAATAGTAAAAACCTCCTAAGGTGGTTGTGTGGAACCTGTGAGATGACATGTGCAAAAGCTTATAAACTGTGAAGTACCTTCGTGTGTCTGTTGTTGGCCAATCCAATTTTTGTTTGTTAGTTTTGGACCAAGGCAAGAAGCAAACTCAAGGCCTCTCCATCTGGAGCTCCTTGGTGGCAGAGGTCGCAGGTCTCTCGCCACTGCCCCTTGCTGTCATCCAGACCCTCCCCCACCCCTAGCCCTATCGTTGAGCTGTCCGCTTTGAGTGGTGAGGACTGTGTCCCCTGCAGTGCAGGCCCTAGTGGTGGTGGGCCTGGCTTAGAGTTGGGTAGCCCCAGCCTAGAGGTGGTGGTCACTTTTTTTTTTTTTTTTTGAGTTGGAGTCTCACTCTGTCACCCAGGCTGGAGTGCAGTAGCGTGTTCACAGTCACCACAGCCTCAACCTGCTGGGCTCAGGTGATCCTTCTACTTCAGTCTTCCAAGTAGCTGAACCCACAGGCGTGTGCCACCACTTCTGGCTAATTTTTAAATTTATTGTAGGGACAAGGTCTCACCAAGTTGCCCAGGCTGGTCTCGAACCCCTGGACTCAGTCCTCTCACCTCCACCTCCCAAAGTGCTGGGATTACAGGCATGAGCCACTATGACCAGCGGTGTTCACATCTTAGAAGCCTTATGGGTTGTGTCAAGGGCTTTAATTCCTCTGAACTTTCGTTTATTCTACCATAAAATGGTGCCCACCCACTTTTGTCCACTGAGGATGGCCCAGAGGCATAGTAAAGGTGTCTGTGGGGAGTGGATGTTCCAGGCACTAGAGACCAAAGCTGTTTCTGACTGATGTGTCTCTGCTCACCAGGAGAACTCAGTCTGTCCAAACTAAACTCCATCCACGTCCTCTACTCCCACCCCCACACACATCATCCCCCGCCTCTTTCCAGGGTTCTAATCTTGGGTGATGATGGGATTCATCCTGGTCTCACCTTTGCGCAGGCAGGACCTTCTGGATGCAGCTCAGGTTTTCATAGTCTCTGACTCCCCTGGGCAGTTAGTTGTCCTCACCCAAGGATGACACTTCCCTGCCTTGTAACCTCTGCCCACATACTGATGAGCTGAAACCACTGATGTCTCCTAGTTCTTGTGAGCAAAGACAGAGCAGTCATAACGCAATGCCCAGGTACCTGGCATGGGATTAGTACACAGGTGACTGGATGGACGGATGGAAGGAGAGGTGAGTGGTCACTGCCCCTGTGGTCACTGTACTGAAAGTTCCCAGCTGTCTATGCCCTGTGCTCATCGCATCACTCTTGCGTGGCTGGGTTCCAGAGGGCTCTTGTGGATTGGCCGTGCATGGACAGACCTTGAGGCTCAGTGATGGATACAGAGGGTTCATGGTTCTAATTCTGTATATGTTTGAAGATCTCTATAATTAAATAATTTAGAGCCATAAAAGAGATCTCCATAGACAAATTTGAAGTGAGTTTTAGGAGAGATTAAATGAAAAGCCAAGGTGCAGAACAGAAAGGAAGCCTGGACATAGTGGCTCCTGCCTGTAATCCTGATACTTTGGGAGGCTGAGGTGGGAGGATTGCTTGAGCCCAGGCGTTCGCAACCAGCCTGAGGAGCAAAGTGAGACCTCATCTCTACAAAAATAAAAAAAAAAAATCGGGCACAGTGGTGTGTGCCTGTAGTCCCAGCCACTCGGGAGGCTGAGACACAAGGAATGCTTAAGTCCAGGAATTCAAGACTGCAGAGCACTATGATTGTGCCATTGCACTCCAGTTTGGGTGACAGAGCAAGACCCTGAAAAAGAAAAAGAAAAGAGAAGAAATGCAAAATAAGAAGTAATACCCAGGTGGGGTGGCAAGTGACTGTGGTCCCAGTTACTCCAGAGGCTGAGGCAGGAGAATGACTTGAACCCAGGAATTTGAGCTACAGTGAACTATAATCATGTCACTGCACTGGGTGACATAGCAAGTGAGACCCTGTCTCTAAACAAAAATAGTAAGAATAAAACAAGGAAATTAAGAATAATCCCTAAATTGGAATACCAGTATGATCCATGGTTTGACCAAAAAAAAAAAAAAAAATACATTTCCTAGCTGTATATGAAAGGATCTAGAAACAACGACACCCCAGTTGCAGTGAGCACACCTGCCCAGGTCTTTTTTGTTTGTTTTTGGAGACAGGGTCTCACTCTGTTGGCTAAACTGAAGTGCAGTGGCACTATCATAGCTCACTACAGCCTCTAACTCCTGGGTTCAAGTGATCCTCCCACCTCAGCCTCCCTGAGTAGGTGGGACTACAGTACATGCCATCATGCTTGGCTAATTTGTTTTTATTTTTTGTAAAGACAGGCTGGTCTCCAACTCATAGCCTCAAGTGATCCTCCCACCTCAGCCTCCCAAAGCACTGGGATTATAGACGTGAGTCAAAGAGTCTAGCCTCAGATCTTGATCTCCAATATATTTCATTTTCTTTTCTTTTACTCTCTTCTTCTTTTTTTTTTTTGGAGTAGGAGTCTCACTCTGTTACCCAGGCTGGAGTGCAGTGGCACACTCATGGCCACCACAGCCTCAACCTGCTGGGCTCAGGCAATCCTTCCACCTCAGCCTTCCAAATAGCTGGAACTTCAGGTGTATGCTACCACACCCGGCAAATTTTTTTTTTTAATTTATTGTAGAGATGAGGTCTCACCAAGTTGCCCAGCCTGGTTTCGAACCCCTGGGCTCAGGTAATCTTCTTGCCTTGGCCTCCCAAAGTGCTGGGATTACAGGTTTGAGCCACCATGCCCAGCCTCTAATACCATTTTCTACTAAAGGGAACCAAGCCGGACTTCTTGGAGAAATGAGTGATCCCAAAATTTAAGTGGGACTAAGGCAGTGGTTCCAAAAAGCAACTAGCTCCCTCTGGTCAAATTTGCCTAACTTTGAACATGAAGAAAGAGTGACTGCATTGGATTGTAAACCATTGAGTAAATAAGAATTCATTTGTCCACAGTGATATTTGGGGGAGCGGGAATGTATTTGTCACCATTAGAGTGGAATATGTCAGCTCCTTAGTCTGAAACTGATAATTGAGGAGAATTAACCATTGTGCACCCTTGATGGATTGTGAAACGACACAACTGCTATGGAAAACAGTATGGCAGTCCTTCAAAAGTTAAAAATAGAACTACTGGGAATGGTGGCTCACGCCTTCAATCCCAATTTGGGAGGCTGAGGCAGGAGGATCACTTGAGGCCAGGAGTTTGAGACCAGCCTGGGCAACATAGCAAGACCTCATCTCTACAAAAAAAAAAAATTAGCCAGGCATGGTGGCACATGCCTGTGATCCCAGCTACTCTGGAGGCTGAGGTAGAAGGATTAACTGAGCCCAGGAGATTGAGGCTGTGGTGAGCTATGATCGTGCCACTCCAGCCCGAATGACAGAGTTAGACCCCAACTAAAAAAAAAAAAAAAGGACCACAATATGACCCAGCCATGCCACTTCTGGGTATACTTCCAAAAGAATTGCCCCAGCTTGGTGGCTCAGCCTGTAATCCCAGCATTTTGAGAGGCCAAGGCAAGTGGATTGCCTGAGCCCATGGGTTCAAGACCAGCCTGGGCAACTTGGCAAGAACTCATCTCTACAATAAATCAAAAAATTAGCTGAGTGTTGTAGTGTGTGCCTATAGTTCCAGTTACTTGGAAGGCTGAGGCAGAGGGATTGCTGGAGCCCAGCAGGTTGACACTGGGGTGACTGTGAGTGCACCACTGCACTCCATCCTGGGTGACAGAGTGAGACTCCAACTCAAAAAAAAAGAGTTGAAGGTAGGGTCTCAAAGAGATATGTGCACACCCATATTCGTAGTAGCATTATTTACAACAACAGCTGAAAGGTGAATACACCTAACTGTCCATC